CCTTAAATGTCTTATCATGAAATCCTTCTGGGTGGATGTGGTCGGATTTCTATGAAACGGTTTTTCATTCATTTATATGAGTCACGCTCATCATACAGCATAAAGCACAACTTTCACTGGTTTTATGCGCATTGAAAAATGTGTGCTCTGAAATAACTTTGTTCTGTGTTGGAAGCAGGCCATCACAAGGTGGCGTTCGCTGGCAGTGTGCTCATCCTGGCTGGTGAGCCTCAGCCCAGCCCATGCTCACCAGCCTCTGACCACGGCCGGCAGAGCATAAACGTTTATCTCACCCTTTAAGAAAAAGTGTGCCAACCCTGTCTACCCCAACATGGCCTAGAGGAGAACTCAGATAAATTTGTATCTTGATATGACTTATTCTTTGTAGGATTTGACAGATTAAGAGGTAAAATCAGTTTGGTTTTTTTCACAGTAAAATTTGTTAGCAATAAAATAATCTATTTACTTTTCTTGACATATTTAAAAGAAAATAGTATTACAATTTTTGTTTAAAACTGTATTTCTCGTTAAAATATTTTCTCCTTTTTGTAGTGTTGAATATGAGACATTTGATATATTGGAGGACGAAGAAGTAAGTTCTGTGTTTTATGTCCTTTGTCTTATTTTGACCACCAGAGTCTGGTTGGAAGGTTTCAGGGTCCCCCTTATTTCCGTAGGTTCGGCAAGGGTTAAAAACGTACTCCAACTGGCCGACGTACCCCCAGCTGTACGTGAAGGGGGAGCTCGTCGGAGGCCTGGACATTGTGAAGGTAAGGCTGGCGGTTACCGGGCGCCCTCACGAACTGAGAGTCGGGCGTGCTTGAAAATGATAGTCATTTCGAATGGAGACTCGGGGTTGTCCTTGACACCTTTCTTCTCTGCCCTCGGATCCAGCTATTTCTAGACCCGTATTACCCCTTCTGCCACCGTCATATCTTGTCGTTGTCACAGTGCCTGCCGCATCAGACCGTCTTACGTCTCTCCTGGGCTGGCCCGCCGTCCCCCTCCTGGGCGTCCCCTGGCCCTGTCTGCTTGCACACCTCTTTCAGCTCTCGAGGGGCTGCCTGGAGCCCGGGCTCCGGAAGCTGGAGCTGCGGCCCAGCCCCGAGTTTGGTCTTGCTCGCTGTCCTATACCAGGGAGAACTCTGCGTTTCGGTGAGGGCGGCCTCGCAGGCCCACCGTCGCTTCCTGTCCGTGTCCTTCCAGGCCCCGCTTGCCCACGAGCACTCAGGCGCCCGCTGCTCCTGCCCTCTGTGCTTGGACTGCGACAGTTCCTGGGCGGTCCCCTCAGGTCCTGTTCCCCTCGCTCATGTGTTCTCCTCGGGTGCCGGAGCGAGGGGCTCCAGGCCGCGGGCAGGAGGCCCGAGTCCCAGTGGTAGCCTGGCCCTGCTGGCAGTGCCACGGTCACCCGAGATTACTGACTGCAGGTTCCTAACAGAAAAGTGCAGGCTGGTCCTCGGTCACAGCCAGGGCCCCCTTTGGTTCTCGTGCCAGGAAGTCGGGCGGCTCTGTCAGGTCGTACGCATGTTTCGAGGGGACGGTTTCTCTTACATGTCTTTGATAATTCATTTTCTTCTGTGCTTCACTTTAAGTGCATTACATTTTAAATGGATGTGGCTTTTCTCCTAGGCTGTGAAGTCTGGAAATGCGTGCACCCCCTTCCCCCAGCCTCACGCTAGCACCTGTGTGCCCCGGAGCCCTGCCGCCAGCCCCAAACCCTGGCGGGAAGCTGAGCTTTCCTGTCCTCAAAACCCTCATCCTGCCCGGGCCGCGGCCCGGGTGCTGGAGGCGGGTGGCTGTGATGGGCGCGGGAGAGGGCCTGGCGGCCGGCCAGGCTGCAGGGAGGCCCACCTCCGGGGGAGGCCCACCTCCGGGGTCGGAGCTCCGGCTTCTGGTGGAGGCTGGCGTGCTAGCGCTGCCTGTAGTCAGCTGTGGGGTGGCGGTTTGAGGCGCGCACTTGGTGAAGCGGGAGGACGTGGGCCCGTGCTGGGTGTCACCGGCACAGTGGGCTGGCAGGGCTTACAGCACAGGCCTTGGGTGCAGAGGCTGCTGGTCCTGCGTGCTCTCTGTGCAGGTGTCCCCTGCCCGGTTCCAGGTTTGACGTGACACTTCGTCAGCAAGCCAGCGAGGCATTTTCCTAGTAAGCGGTCTCGGTCCTGATGGGAAAGAAGGGGTTAACTTAGTAGCTTCTGAGTGGCTCGGAAGCAGCAAAAGTGGACCTGCGTGCGTGCGTGTATGTGTGTGTGCATGTGTGTAGACATAAATAATTTTTATAAGACAAACAGTCTTCAGACCCCAGACACTTTTGCACCCGTTCCTGTCCAAATGTTTTTTGGCGTGTCTCTGAGCCCTCGGTGACTCCCGGGAAGATGCATCGATGAGTCTCGTTTAACTCCACAGCCGATCTGTGTGAGCAGCTTCTTCCCAGGTACATAACCGGGTGTTACGTGACTTTTTATGTCCGCCTGCTGAGAACGCACGCATTTGGAAATCCGTGATCTGTCATCTTTCTTTGAGAGGGTAGCTGCTCTTAGGGACTCGCTGCCAGGTTGCCCATCGGTCTGTTTCTTGCAGAGCGCAGTTCTTTGCCTTCGGCCGAGCGCACCAGCATGTGCCAGAGGGATCTGTCCCGCTGGCCTCTGCAGGAGCACCGAGGGCTTTCTTCGTTGAATGAGCGATCGAATAAGTGAATTGACTCAGTGACTCAGCGACTCAGTCTCACGTCCGAGAACAGTAGCTGCTGTTACCCGTGCTGGGCGAGTCAGTCCCACCCTGAGGCGTGAGGTCCGCCACCGCAGCGTATAGGCTGGGGGCCTGGGCGGCCAGCCAGAACGTTTTGTCAGCTTGTGCTGTAACCTGGTCGGTGTCCACAGCAGTGCCCCGCGACGGCCGTGTCGGCAGCCGCGCCCCATGGCAGGCGCGCCCTGCTAGTGCCCCGCGACGGCCGTGTCGGCAGCCGCGCCCCGCGTTAGTGCTTCGCAGGTCGAGATGCACTCGGCCTCGAGCAGCAGCGGACGGGGTGCGGATGGAGGAGCAGGCGATGTCCCAGCGAGTCCGGGCTGTCCCTGGCGCGGCCGGCCTTTCCTGGGTGCTGCTCGCCTCCTGCCTCCTGAGTCCGGTGCTCGGGAGAGGCCTGCTTGTCCCCTGGCGCAGTAGGAGCTCTGTGTGTTACGTGGGCAGGAGACCCCACGACACCACTGAGGGCCATCGGAGGTCACGTGACAGCATCACAGCCGTTTGGGTTTAATTGCAGAGGAGTGTGAGTGGATTTTAGTGGTTTTATTGATCGATGTTCATGCTGCTTAGGGATAACCTGACACATTAAACTAGAAAGTCTTATCCTCTTTGTCACATTCTAAACTCCGTTCTGTGTTCCACGTTTTAATTCTGAAAGGGACACAGCGATCACGTCTTTGCCCTGGTGTCTGGCCTTGCCGTTCACGCGTACGCGGTAGCGCTGCTGCTGTTCCGGGCCGGGGAGGAGGGGCGCAGGTGTCGTGGCAGCGCGTGCGCGTGGAGCTGGCGTCACGCGGCTTTTTCTTCATTGTCTCAGTTTCTTTCTTTCTTGCTGTCGTTTAAATAGGAGGCTTCATTGTTTGCTGCAGTCGCTCTATTTGCTAATGCGGACAATCTGTTGGTTTCAGGCTCCTTTTAGCTTTAATTTTGTGATCTGATCGTTTTCTTTTGCGTCTCTGACGGACGCACTCTGTAGTTATTTCGATACTTTCATTTTTCATGTGTACATATCCATGTTATTGTTTTCTTTCTCTTTTCTTTTTTTGTTTAAATTTTTAGGAACTGAAAGAAAATGGTGAATTGCTGCCTGTGCTGAAGGGAGGAAATGAATAAGTGTTAAACCTGGTGCCCAGCCGTTTCGAGAAACATTTAGTCGGAGCGGAGCCGTTCCTGAGTTGGCCCTCAGAGAAAGACTAGGCGGGAAAACACTCTGCTGTCCCCGGTTCCGCTCTGTGTGGGCCACAAGGTTGCGCTACATAAATGTATGTTACGTTTTTTTCCACCAAAAATAGAATGTAATAAACATCTTCAAATTCAGTTAACAATAACTGTGTAAAAAAGTGCGTTTTTCGGTGAAGTCAAACACACGTTACTGTAACTAGCCCACGTTAAAGCCCCTTGTCACACGGCGGGGTTTCTTGTCGCGGTTAAAATCGTCCCCGCGCGGCAGACTGGGGCGGTCGGTCCACAGCTGCGTCGGAACAACTCGCAGGCCGATCCGATGGCTCCCCTCGCTGGCCGAGGCCTCTTCGCAGCCGGGACAGTCCCAGCGAGCCCCGTCCCGCTGGCGTGAGCGGCGGAGGCGCCGTGCGCAGCGCGGACTCGCTCCTTCCCAGCGCCAGCGCTGCGCGAGCAGGGCGCGCTCAGGAGGCGGCGGTTTCTCCTGTCGCAGAGAGCGCTGCGGAGCCGTGACAGCAGGAAAGGTCGTCAGTTGGTGTGAAGCATCAGCTCATTTCAGTCGTCGTATCGAAAGCACTGAATTCACCCTTAAATGGGTCGATAACATCCTGAGGCCCACGAGAATTTCAACAGCATTTTTGGCCCCGAGTCCAGCATATTGAAGAAACAGCTGCTCCGTTAGGCGTTAACAAGACGGCCGAGTCCAGCTCCACGGTCCTTAGATTTGGGGGTACCTACGGCCAGTGCGGTTGTTAGCCCTTCCCCACCTGTCGACCTGGGTGGCTAGGGCTCCCCGGGATCGCCACACGAAGGCGGGGACAGGGGCGTGGAAGTCAGCAGTTTGGGTAAGGGGGAGCGCACACGCGTGTGGTTCCGTGACGGCCAGCCCTTCCCCAGGGCGCTGGTGTCCTGTCTCCTGAGCGTCCGGGGTTCCCTGCCGCGTTCGATTGTGTAAAGAGGCGGCTGTCACACGGCTGCGTTACAGAGAGCGGGCTGCATGGCGGCGGACGTGGCCTTGCATCCTCCTGGGGGAGGAGTCCCCTGTCACCGTGGATTTTCTGCCCACTGTGCGATTAGGTGGGGCTCCTTTGGGCATTTGTCCATGAACTATTTTCCAATTAAAATGAAAATCACTGTACATGCAAAAACTCTGACGTGCAGATGGAAATGGGATTTTAACTACAGTCTTATTCAGCCATTGGCTTCAGGGCCGTGTGCGAGTCACGGAGGAGGAGCCCATCATTTTCTTGGATGCTTCATCGCACACTTGTCATTTGATACCGCTCTCACGATTTTCACTGTCCACAAGTGCCACTTACTCTACTTTACATCGAGTCAACTTTTAACCTCACTTTATCCTAAGCAAAACTATCTTTGCTATCACAGAATTAATAAGCTCATTTTTTTTTCATAATGCATATTCAGATGAACAGAATGCTCACCTTCGAACATAAACCCCCACCTCTGATTTGGGAACCACTGGCCAAAGGTGGTGGCCCCGGGGACGTGAGCTGCTTCAAGCGCTTTGGGACAGGCTTCCCTTGCTTTGGGTGACTTGCGTGACGGGAAAACTTGCATGCTGTCGTCCTGGCTGAGCG